GGAAGAAAGCATCAAATGTTCATTTTCACCAACAATTTAAGTAAATTACCATCATTTAGTGGCAAGAATTATGCTGTGTCACATCTATGAATTTTGATTGTTCACTCTCAGATATGAGCTTCTTTCCTCTCCCAAGAATGAAAGAGAATTCAGCCCATCTATCAGTGGGGTACAGTGTGAAACGTGAGCCTGTCACTATCTGGGTGGATGTTCATTGCACAAGCACCTCAACATGTCTATAGCGATCCTTCCTTTGGAGACCTTGTGTTTAATTTCTTGAACATGAACTTTTAATGCTTGCCATGCAATACCTCAGGGATAATTGTTCTAATTCCCTTACAAGACTGAATCTGATTGCTCTGTTAGGATACTAAGAAACTGTCTGACTATGTCCTTTATGGACCATTTAAGGACTTCAAGTAATTTCATGTCCATTTTCTTGCCACGTATTTGACGAAGTTGAACTTTCTTGCCCCTTGAAGGTAGACAGAGTTGTGCCACTTGCTTTGGCCACTGAATCATGAGCACTGAGGGTGAGTATGGGTTCTGTTGTCTTTCTTTTTACCTGAATTGGTAAATACGGAGATGGTCTCCCTCCTACTTCCTGTTGTGGTTTGTATGTAGAGCTCTCCTACCCAAGGTTCATGTGCGGGAAGCTTGGTCCTAAGTGTGAACATGTTAGGGGAGACGGGACCTTTACGGGGTGGGATGCAGTGAGAAACGATTAGGTCATTCGAGGGACCGTGCTCAGAGACTGCTGTCTGCTTGTAGGCAGTGGCTTAGGTACCACATGACTTGACTGGTTACCTTGAGGATGGGTGGTTATTGTGCAAGCGGGTATCACATTCCTTGTGTTTGTCCTCTTCTACACACCACACTGACCGCTCTTGCTTTCATTTCTCTCACGGAATGTCACCTGCTTTGGCATTATGTGGCTCTTGCTGACTATAGTCACCTGAACTTGGACATTTCAACTTCCCAGAAAATGACCCCAAACAAACGTCCGTTCCTCCCAAGGTATTAAGTCAGATGTCCCAGAGAAGCCCCCAGTAGACTCAACACTTGCTGGATGAGGACAGTGAGGAGCAGTGTTTCTAGTTGAGTAGGGTTGATAGACTGCATGAACAGGGGTTTTAGGAGCCTCTGAGGTTAGGGGCTAACCTGTCATGGCTGGTTCACTAAAGATACATCCTAACACCCAACTCCGCTAGCTTTACTTCATTAGACACGACTATTGTATACTGAGGTTACCCCCACCCCCCAAAAAATGTTTATTTGTAAAACTATAGATCTCGGTCCATAATTTAGTGATTCTTTTATCACAGAGATCACCGAAAATGTAACTAACAGTCTGTAACTGAAAGAATAAAGTAAGGAATGAAGAAAAGACAACCACCAAGAGAAATCGGAATCCACATTTATTGATGAGATATATGTACACACACACAGAAGTTAAAACACTTAGTGAAGGATTGGATTCCCAGGTTATTTCCAGCAGATGAAGAGCATCCAGTTATTTTACACAGGAAATGTTACAGCCATCAGTCCACATCACACACAAAAAAGCGGAAAACAAACATGGGAGACCTCAGCTACCCAAGATGTGCTTTGTCAGCAAGGTGTTTCCTAGTACCACATAGAAGAAACAGTCTCCAAATTAGGTGAGTTTCTCATCTTTTTGCATTCATTAGTCTTTAAATACCACGTGCTATGATAGATACACTATGCTACATGACATCAGACCAACAGGGACTGTGAACTTGAGGGAAACCATTAATCTTAACTTCCACTCGAAGATAATCCTGCCTACAGTCTACTTTCCCTTCAGTACAGTTCTCATCCAGAATCTGAAGGACCCAGACACCACATTCCCTCACTCCACATATCTGGAGCAGCCCCTGGAAGTGAATGTACTTCACATCTTCATCAGCTCTGAAAGAAGGAGGGGCTACGGGAACGACAGAGCTCACAGCACGGTAATCAGTGAGAATGAGGAGGGATGTGGTTTGGGCCATCAGCACCAAACTCATTCTTGCCCACTTCACACAAGCAAGCAGAGCATACTGGGTAGGGAGATCAGACTCTTGTTACATACTTGGGATCAGTGCATCAGAGGTTGGTCCTCTGCCCCTGGCCTTGCTGTGCTTCTAGTATTCTGTTGTTTTCTGGCAAATGTGCAATGCTGCCAGGACTGTGCTTTTGGGGTGGGGGGCAGGGGTCGGGGGTTTCACCTGCACAGCAGCTAATCAGTAAATGCATCCCCGTATTCTGACTCAAGACGTCAAGGGGAACACAGCTCTTCAGAATCTTAAGTCATGAACATCATGTCAAGATGAAGATCTGACAACCAGGAGGTTGACCCTTCCCCAAAGACATGATTTGAGCATGCCAAGGAGCAGATGGAGCCCCCCTTCTTTTGTATCTTTAAGACCAGCTCTCTGGTGAGAGAGGACAGAAGATGAGTGTCCTCATTCTAAACCTCCCTCGGCCTGACAACCACAAGTTCCCCCATGCACTGAATGGGAAGGATGCAGGCATAGGACGACCTTTCACTGTGTGGCAAGACACACATTCAACCCTATCCCTGCTCAGAGTTGTATTTACAAAGGTGCTGAACACATAGATTTGCAAACAATCATCAGTACGGAGGCTTCATAGGTAAGTTCTTTACTCAGATTACATTGAGAAAGAGAAATAACCCCTCGAAAATACCTAAGATGGCAAAAAAAGTTTTCTAAACAGCACTCAACATATCTATTACATTTAGATAAACAGCAAGAACAACATTTAAATTAAATTACATCTATACACCATTTCACTGAAATTACACACACAAATTCCTACATTATCGCTACACAAAGTGCATAGGCACTGTCTTCATGCGTGAACCAAGTGTCAGCGTGTACACACAAGGATGTCATGCTCTGAAAGCTAGCTGTGCTTGGGAACAGATACAGTCTTAGCCAGTGGAGGACACATCTAATCTGCTCTCTTAATGAGGAGCAGGTTCAAATACATGCTAGTATGTGTTCTATGGAACAGACTACCCTTTCAAACACGGTAAAATACTAGCCCTGCCACCTCAGAGAGTGTGTTTGGTGGAGGAAAGACACGGCGTGTTTTCCGTGGCTACTGGCTTACCTTGAGGGAAGGTTACATAGTTTGATGTCTACCTGAGGATAATCTATTTGGGTTTATTCTAAATAAACTCAGTGTGACTCTGAATCCCACCTCCAGTCCCCCAGTGACACAGTATGGATTCTGAGCGGGTACTAAAAATATGTTATCTTTAAATTTCCTTTAAAAATATATGTTCAATTCATGCAACAGTGTGAGGTTTTGCTCTCGTTTTGCTTGGCAAGGCTCAAAACTGCACCTAACCTGTCCCTAATTCTTGTCTTACCACGCATCCTCCGTCTTTGCTACTCAACATTTTCCTAGGCCAATTTTCACATCAGCGTTTAGGAATGTATAGAAGATTCTGATATAGAAAAGATCCCACTGTTAGCACCAGCCTTTATCTTATGGGAAAGGAAAATTAGAACGGACGATTGAGGAAACAAGGTCCAGTGCCGGGAGAAGAGAAGTCTGCCCCTTTCCTTGGCACTGGAGGGTTAGCTGTCCAGATGCGCATCCTGAGTTCCTAAGGGGGTTGAGCAACTCCTTGTGCCTAGTTAGGTCATGTTCCTCATTGCATCGTCAAGGACTGAGTTCCTAAATTTCTCAAGTGTGGCTGTATGCTCAAGGGACAGCTGATAACCCTAAACTGCTACAGAAACTTGTGCTCAAATTAGCTACACTTCTATCTATGTGGTTGTATAGAAAATATCATAAGAAAATATCTGTCTGAAAAATTACAGATACTAAATACATTATTTCGGCCTATTCTGAGTCTTTACGATTTTTGAAGAATAGATATAAACATGCGTACTATTATTAAAGGCTAAATTAGGGTTAAACTTGTAATATCCAGGACTATAAATATTTCTCTTTATAAATAATAGCAAAGAACTTTGGGGATTCGTGTAAGAAAGAATGTAAGATGGGGCCAAAACAGCTTTGTAGACTTAGGGTGCAATACTGATCAGGGGGCAATATGCTGTCCCTAGCAACACAGGTTCTTCCCAGGAAGCTAAAATATATCTGCTGGCATCAAGATAAATTCACTTCACAGTTTGCCAGCTCTCTCCTCAAGCTGTAGAAAACAAATAGAAAAAGAATATACAAAAATTCTCCCAAAAGTAGGTTTGTTTTCATATATACAAATCTCTAGATGACCAGATGATCTAGTCTGTGATGTGTAGCGATCACAGAGGAAGGAAGAAGGGAGGGAGGGAGGGAGGGAGAGAAGGAGGGAGGGAGGGAGGAAGGAAGGAAGGAAGGAAGGGAGAGAGGGAGGAAGGGAGGAAGGAAGGGAGAGAGGGAGAGAGGGAGGGAGGGAGAGAGGGAGAGATGGAGGGAGAGAGGGAGAAAGGGAGAGAGGGAGTGAGAGAGGGAGAGAAGGAGAAGAGAGGGAAGGAGTAAGGAAGGGAAGAAGGGAGAAAGGGAGGGAGGGAGAGAGGGAGAGAGGGAGGGACGGAGGGAGGGAGGGAGGGAGGGAGGGAGGGACGGAGGGAGGGAGGGAGGAAAAAAGGGGAAAGGTTGAGATGAGCTGTAGAAGAATCTGGGTACCAAAGACTCTTAAGTCAGGAAGGGAAATACGAAGGAGTAAGCCACCATGGAGAGTTTCGGATTGTGTATCAGAGAATTTGCCCCAGGGTGGAGGAAACTTAGGGATATGTGTGACCAACGTCCTTGCCTTGTGAGTACATCTGTCCCGTAGGAAAGGCAGCCGGCTGTTTCCAGGCAGAGTAAATAGTTGCCATGAGGAGAAACAGAGCCCAGAAGCAGCAAGGCTCTGACTGCATCATGCCCACGTCCCAGAGGATAGTAACAAGGATAACAGTCGTTGTCAGGTTCCAAAGCTCATCCAGGGATCGGGGGTGTCTCCAGAGGAACCCACTGTCTAGGTCACGTGCTGACTCTGCAGAGGACAGGCCTGTTCCAACAGTAGATTTTGTTCTCAGCACAGAAACCCCTCAAAATACAACCAGAAAGACTTCTAAAAATACCCAAATAGGTAACTGGCTCACAGGATAAATAATAAAACAAGACTGGGAGATGGCATAGGAAAAAAAAATGCTGATGGGAAATGATTCTGGGTGGTAGTGTGAACCTTATTCCCCAGGAACCTTATCTCTCACTTTTCAACAGTGACCCCAAGTGGGTCAGTTAAGAAACATTTTCTTTATTATCTTTCTTCTCTACTCCTGGTCTTCTGCCACCACAAGGCGGGGGTGTGCGGGTTAGGGGGATGGGGAGTGGGACACGACACGGTGGGGGAGCACAAGGATGGACATGGGACACCCAACCACCATCACTACCACCTGCAAAAAGTAACCCTTTTAGAACTGGTTTTCCATCTTGCGCTTCCAAATCTGAAGAGCTGAAATCTTTTCCAGCAAGAACGATGTCCACCGCACGGGACATATCAACTCCACTCTGGCATAAATTTGGTCAGAGGGTAAACATGCAAGCTATGGCCTATTACAACAGAACCGGAGAGGGTAAGCAGCCTTGCAACATCCTAACTAGAGACTCTGTGGGCACAGGAAAGGGCTCGAGCAAACTGGAAAACTCCCCTCTTATAAGTGACAGTGTCTGTTCCTACGATGTTCTGTCCGTTATGCAAGCAAACCAAGAGGAAAACTTTAGAATGAAATCAATCAAATCCGCCTGCACATCCCTCTGGAGGAAAGGCGCGGCTCACCGGCTCAGGAATGGATGTACATGCCTCCACACATGTGGAGGGAAAGGTACGTAGGGACGGTTGCTGTGGTTGTGTGACTCTCGCACCAAATGTCAGGAGTGTTCAAGCTTGTTTGCCAGAGCCTCCCAAGCTCCCACACAGGTTTGGCAATTAGGGCTGTTTGGGGAAAATGGTGTGGGCTGAGTATTGGGAGTGGGCTCTGTTGCCACAGCAGGCGTGATGCAAGAGCCCAAGAGCATCTGTGAGGTGCCTGGTCCCTCACGGTGACTCGGCAGAGCATTTCCCTGGGCAGAACCGCCGCTCCTGTGAGAACAGTGAGTTCAGATTAAAGGAACCTTTCCAGAAGAAATTACTGTGGGTTAAACTATGGGTTAAAATGGCCGCTCTCCAAGCTTGTTGTACAGCATGGGATGAAAAGAGGCTTGAGCTAGAGTCGCCTAAAGGGAATGGGGGAAGAAAACCATCTAAACCGATTATTCATTATTGTGGGTTTTTACAACTTAAAATGCAGATAAGCCATGTTTTAGACCAGGAAGCCTCTGAGGATGGAAGTAAAGCAGACATCAGAAAAATGCATACCCAGAGCTAGAGGGAGACTTGAGTCATTTGGTCCAATCCCTTCCCTTCTCATACGGAAGCAGAAGCAAGAGAAGCGCGGACAGTGGCCTGTGTAAGCCGCCCAGCTACAAGGGGGCAGTGTCTAAATCAAATGTTTCCTCTCCCAAACCACGTTGTTTTTAAGCAACCCTGTGCCGTTGGCTAATTATGGTTTAGGCAGTGAGACTAGATATTACTCAGTTAAGATCTGCTGTCTCCTCCCCGACCAACCCCCGCATAACTACATGGCCATTTCCCACCCTGACTGTTGAGCAATGGGATGGAAGGAAGAGAGCAGTGAACTGGGAAGAGAGTTTTAGGGAAATTCCTAAACTGACTGGTGTTTTTGAGCAGATTTTATATCACTCCACCCACGGAAAGATAGCTGTCACCTTTGCCGCCTGGCTTGGTTGGCATGCAGTGACCCTTCTTTTGGGTTTAGCCAGAAATTTCTACAGATGCCAAGACCATGGATATTCAGTGACAACTTGATTTAGGAAACCCTCACTTGAGACATTTTATCTTCTTACGGTCCTTGGGCTCTGGGGTCCCGTAAGTATCCCAATACTGGAAAATCCCATCTGACCTTCTTCTCGGCTTATAATGAGTTGGGCCGGAAAATAAGCAAAAGTGTGAAGCCGAAGACAGAGAGCAGAAGCTGGGCGAGCTGCCCCTGGGGTGTAACTGCTGCAGTCTCCGTCATCAAAGGTCAGAGTTGCTCAGACTTGTCTACCCGAGTCACAAGTGTGGGAACTCCTGTTTGGATTTATGGCTCTGCTGCAGGAGAGAAATAGCGCAAAGGCAAGAGCCTGGATCCTGACAAAACTGAAAAATTACAGTAATTTGCTTTGGAGGACAAACGAGAGATTATTTGCAAAAACAAGGCAGGATTTTTTTTTCCTGAGGACCCTGGCGATAAGTTTCCCAATCTCTCAGTGAGAGAGGGCCTCTAGATAATTCTACCTGCATGTGGCATGATTTTCCAGCCACCACAGGTAATTACTCGAGACCTAGTCAGCTGACCGCTGAGATTCCCAGCATCCCTCGCAGAAATTGTCCCCCGCACTGAATCCTTCCTTCCCACTTCTCTACTTTCTTAGTTTTCCTCCAGGGACATTTCGGTAGCCTTCACTCTGACTGTCCAAGCCGACCAGAGAGAGAAAAAAGGCCATTTGTCTTTTATGGAGAATGAAAACTTCTACAGGCAATGAGGCCACACAGGCTTTTTGCTATACTGAACAGGAAGTAAAAAAACAGAATCTGGTTGTGACCGTGTGGTCCTAAAATCACCTCCAGGCCTTTCCTGGGGTTTTGTGTGCTTATATTCTGATGACTGTATATGGAGAGGCCACCCTCAGAAATCTAAGGTTAAGCATCACCTTCAAAACAACCATCTTATTCACTGACTAGATTGACTTTGCTGGGTTTTACTCAATAGCTGAATAATAATTCTTCTTGCTTCTCAAAGGGAAAGGATGAGAAATGCAAGGCTGAATGTCTGCTTGGTTGGTTTGCTTCTGAAATAATTTTGTTTCCTAAGAAGTAACAACTGAATCCATTTAAGTAATAGGGCCACCAAAGCCCCAAAATACAAATCTCCCTGGAGTTAGTGTACACACAGTGTCACATTCAGTATGTGTATGTGTGTGTGTGTGTGTGTGTGTGTGTGTGTGTTTGAGAGAAAAAGAGTGAGAGAGAGAGAGAGAGAGAGAGAGAGAGAGAGAGAGAGAGAGAGAGAACTACATATAAGAGATTGGACATTCAGATCTACAATTCTTGTGAGACCAGGTATGTAATCTGAAACCAGTAAAACCCGACTAGGGAAGCAGTGTCCCTTGGCTCTCCTAAAAACACTGCCCTCTGACAGAGGTTAATGGGACAGCTAGAGACAAGCTGAAGACAAAACAAACTAGAAAGGTTTTCAGGCAGACTATGAAGCAACAGCACACATTGTCATCATGTGACTGCTTTCGAGAAAAGGTCAATGTATAAGTAACGAGATGGCCTTCCATCTGGGAAGAACCATTGTATGGAAAGACCTCCTCCAACACACATAGCAAAACCCAGGATGCTCCTGGATGCCTTCCCTAGATACATCTACACAGATAGGAAAGTGTTTCCTACGGGAGTAGTGGGTGCCACTTTCAGGCTATCTAGAATAGTTCCACAGCTACACCAAAGACTGTCAGCTTGGTCCCTCTTGTCTTCTATAAGGGATTCATTGCCTGTCATGGCTACCCTGCTAGCTGTCCTTCAAATGAAGGCGAAAACAAACAGCACTCAGGAACCATCTGCCAGCAGAGACGCTGGTGCCCATCTATAATCTCAGAACTGAGGCTGAGCAGGAAGACTGTGAGTTTGAAGCTAGCCTGGGCTACATAGCAAGACCTTGTTTCAAAAGCCAAAAAACAAACCAAAAAATTATAATAATTCAGTTAATACTGCTCCATGGTGGTCCCTGTTTGAAAACAATTAAGGTTTATGAGATTAAAACAAAATAAAACAAAACAAAACCCAGGAATCTCTTGTCTTTTGTATGTTTTCAAGCTGTCTGATTTGAAGGACAGAAGTCACAAGAGAGACTCAAAGGAGAGGCAATGTCACAGCACCCTTTATCAGAGACACTGTATCCTACTATATTATTTATGAAAGTCTCCCCAGCTCTACTTGCCTAGGAAGACACATGTTCTCTGATCTATGGACCAGGTTCCATCAGCTCTTTAGAGTCAAATGTATTCTGTTTCTCAGTTACTCAAGTTCCCAGCTAACCCCTAAACCCAGGAATCTTAGGAAAATACTGTGGGTTATTCATCAGAAGATAATAGTGGAGACATTCAGAATTTTAGCTTGCACAACCGATCATTAAGGATTCATTGGCTGCATATCACAGGCAAACCACCATGCTGCGCCAATTATATTATTTCTTCCTTCAGACTTTCACAGCCCTTGGAAAGGATTCTATCTGGGAGGTTGTGTGAGTCATTCTTTGTCCCTACTTGATGGTTTGAGACTGCCTGCACTCTGTCATGGGAATATCACCTATAGGATTTTATAGAGAGGTTGGCTTGCTGTCCCTTTCTCACTGAAGAGGAAGAATGCTTTTGTGTCTTGGGATGGTTTTCAGGCCCTTTATAAAATGGAACACTTTCGACATATTATATATCAAAATGATATGAAAAGAGGCATAGTCAACATGTGTCCCTCTGTGCGAGGAAGCTAAAATGCTCAGCAATGTAGATGGATGAGAATGTGATGGAAGCAATTTGGATTTTGAAAATCTTTTTGTTAGGAACTCAAATGAGAATTTTATGTGTGGAACAATAGAAACAGATCAGACAATCACACAATGTCACTCTACTATCTGAATGCAAGTCAAACCAGTGTGCTTGAATATTTAAGTCTGGTTAAAAGTTAGATTGTTGACTATGTTCTTTTACTTTTCTCAAGGTATACAGTAGTTATATGCAGATAATTCCTAGTTCATTTTCAAATTTTAAATTCCCCATTTTTCATTTTCACATACACACACACACACACACACACACGAAAGGCAGAGCAGCTGTGATGGGCTCCATGATCAATCACCTGCCTTCCAAGAGTATGGGCACCCACTGAAACTCTGAAATATTTAACTTAGACAGTAAACAAATTGTAAGTCGTCAGAGTTCCCTACAACAGATGCTTCCGATCAACGCAGGTGCTGACTCTACAGGTTGGAGAGGAGGAATTTCTAGAAGCTTCTAGCAGAATCTTTAGTGCAGAACAAGGTGAGCCATGAACACTTTAAGGAATACCATACTGGGTGTGCTCACTGTCTCCAGTCCCTGGCGTATACCACACTGCCTTCGTCCTGTCTCCCTGGGGAAACAGCATACACAGGTCTGCATCGAGACACAGGGAAGCTTGCGAGAACGTGTCTTCTGTTCAAAGTGGTTTCTCCAGCAGCAACCATCCAGACATAACACAAGTAAGAAAATTAGACAGTTAGGAAGCATTATTTGGCAAAGACACAGCACGGTGCCTGTCATCACGGTGCACAACAACTCCTCTAAGCCTCGGCTAACAGATTAAGTAAACATAGAAATATATGCATTTTTCCTTTTGCAAAGGAAACCTGTTTAGAGCATCTTTTACCATAAGATACGCTGGGGAGTTTATTCAAGAATTGGCTGAGAGTCAGGTCATTATTTTTCACGTTTCCAAGGCTCTTCTTCAACACTGCAGTCAGCTGACTTTCCATTGGCCGCCAGAGTTACCTGAAAACAATTACCATCAACATCCAACTTATAGGCCACGAACCACAAGAAACACTGCCCATGGGTCATGTGGAGAAGCACCAGATCCAAGCTTACAGTGTATGCTGAAACTGTAGTTTTAAATGGTATTCCTTTAAAATTAGTTTTGAAGCCATCCTGGTGTTCAACAGTGGATAGAGAATTAAATTATATTTGCCTGGAGGGTATTGAGGGATTACAGATACTCAGCATTGCAGGGACAGCTTCAACAATATTTTTAGGGTTGTGGGGAATCTCAGTGCCCAGAGACTCATTACATATGACTGTAATCCTTAAATTACAGTGAGTGCCACGTGCTACTCCATACAACCATACAGAAAGAAATCCAGAATTAGGCAGCTACTTCTACTCATGCATGTGAAAGGTTCAGCCACAGTGAGGCCAGGTGAATTTCATACATGTTTAGTCTTAATTACTGAAATGATAATGTTTTGTCTCTACCGAATACATTATCTTGACTTTAGAAATGAAAAGGGGGGAAAGGTTTAAAAGCTGGAGATCAGTAGCAATGTATTCCAAATCATTTCAATGCAGACACCTAGGGACCTATAATTAACAAACCATACACATTTTTTTTTCTGGCCCAGAGCAAACTGAACCTTTATGCAGGAGGGAAGTCTTCCCATCCACTTCTAAGCAGGTTTCCTAGCTTACCTTCTGTCTGTCTGTCCTCAACGTCATGTGCAAACTTAAACCCAGGACTGATATTCCACATAATGAAGAGACTGGATTTATGGAAGCATTAGAATATGGAGACATGACAAATGCAGCAAAGTTTGAAAGAAGTCTGACCTCCTTTTTACCCAAGTGGAAATGAAATGCATGCATCTAGAGCATGCAGCATGCTAGAAACAGAGAACCAAGTGACCTTCGTGAACCATGCAATGAGAATAAAAAACTACCCGTTTTTTCAATTCCCATTAACACCCCAACCCCTCATCCCCCCCCCCCACCATTGCTTAAAAAGCCCATGCAGTTAGCAGGGATGCCTCACATGCTGTTAGTCCGATGAAATGAATAGACTATTACATAGCTCCAAACTACCATTAGGAGGTGGAGACTGGCATGACATACCAACGCTTGAAATGTTTTGACCAGAGCTGCAGCAAACTGGTTTCCCCTTCAACAAACTGTCAATAAAGACTGCCAGAGACAGACTGGAGAAGCCTGCCCATTCCTGGTGACCTTGGATGTGATTGTTTGGCTCTCAGTGATCAATCAGATCAACAGCAGTACACAGTTATCCATCACAATGTGGCATCCTGGGAGAACCATACAACATGTGAGATGTGTTCCCTTTTCGTGTGTAATACTGGAACCTTTACTTCAGAAATAGCAGGAACAGTGGCTTTTCTGGCACTTGTCCCCATGCCGAACCAAAGAGAGCTGAAAGTCCTCTCCCTAATCCACCTACACTTGTCTTGATCAACCAAGGGTCGGGCCTTGGCAACAAGCATTGACACTCTTCCTGCTGGGCTCTACAAACTGGACCTAAAAAGTGGTGAAACCGAGAGTTGACTGGAAAGAAGTCAAAAAAATGAATGAATGCAATCTGGATATTTGTGGGAAGGATGTGCACCTGTGCACATAGCTCTGGCTGCCTTCTACATCAGGGACAATCAGGTAACTGACAGAGGGAGAAGACTGAGGATCTGCTCCTCTCCAAAGAGCTAAAGTCAATCACCTCACTAAAACTGCAAGCATCTGAGATACTTATGGAACCAGTACAGCCAGATACATTATCCTCAGGGCCTGCTCAGATTGAATATTGACACCATCTAAATGCTAATTATCCAAGACAGATGCAGGTGGTTGATAGGGTAGTCAATTTTATGGAGAGATTGAGCAACTCGCTGTACGATACTGTGCAATAAAAAGGCTATCTAAACACAACATGGAATCAAGATGCTGGTGGGGTTTATTTAGCAAATATGTATTGAGTGCCTACAACAGCCCAGGCACTGTTGGGCACAATAATGCTGGATGGAGACCATGTGCCACTATGTATGGGCTTGTTTTATAGCGACAGGATCAACTTATTCCCTTTATTCAACTTTGCAGTTTTCTTTAAAACATGTAGTAAAAAAAATACTCTTGCAATATTTTGCTTTGTTTTGTTTTGATTTTTGTTTTTCAAGACAGGGTTTCTTAGTACAGCTCTGGTTGTCGTGGACTCAATCTGTACACCAAGCTGGCCTTGAACTCAGAGATTCGCCTACCTCTGTCTTCCAAGTGCTGGAATTAAAAGCATGCACCATCACTTCCCAGCTTTTTGCAATCTTTAAGAAGAGGAAAGTGAGTCTGAAAAAGAAAGACGTTTCCACTCTACTCCTTATTTTTCAAAACACTTTCAGTACTGCGAAGCCCTTTGAGAAGCCGCGCCAAAGAGTCCCCGCATTAATTGGGATTCTTCTTCACATAACAGCGAAACAAAAAATACATAAGGTTATTCCACTTTATCTCATCCTATGTTTCCTTGAGTGAAAATCATCTGAGTTCAAATCTTCTTTCTTGTGTTCTATTATATGTTCTTGTTTGCATAGCCGCAGGACATAATTATTGCCTTACAGGTACAGGCACTCAGTAAACACTTGGTCAATGACAAAACATGCAATGTCATGGAGGAGGGGGACACACACCACTAAATCATACAAGGCACACAATAAATATTTGATAAATATAAGATAAAAATCATTTCATGAGAATACTGACCCTTTTTGATCCAAACTAATGTGTGTGTGTGTGTGTGTGTGTGTGTGTGTGTGTGTGTGTGTGTAGAAACTTAACATGTTTACTTGGATGTGAAAAACACTAACAGTGCAAGAAAATGGATTATTGACCTGAGGATCTGACTGAGATTTAAAAAATAGACATCACTTTTGTCTTGTCAAATGATCAATGTGTGGTCTCACTCCTCAGTTTGTAGCAGAGCCTTGGCTCACCTGCACGTGTACTTGATGTAGAGGGAACAAGCAAGGCTCTCTGGTCTACAAGTACTATGGAACCATCATCCAGCCTGGTAAACGGAATTGCTCCTGTTAGCCTTAGCTCTCTGGCAGAAACCATGGAGTTATCTGGAATAACTCAGGATTTGCCACAGTGAGAAAGATTAAGCAGAATCTTCCAGCAGGAGTCAAAAAGGCAGAAGGGCTCCCTGTTGACTCAAACCGGCCTCAGCCACACACTCAACCATTTCAGCAAGCCAGCCCTCCTCTCACCACCAGGGTCTCCAGATTTGCTTCGCTCTGGTCACAACAGTATACCTTTAACAATGTCAGGTTAGCTACAGTGAAGGCCAGCAAGGGACCCATCAAGCTTAAAGACTTGGCACCCAACAGCTTGGAGGAGAACCCAGAACACCCACAGTGCAGGAGAACTGGAGTGTGTGATACCTAGCATTTTAAAAAGACTCTGGGTAACTGTTTGGAAAGATGGTTATTCTTGGAACTGCATCCCTATTTGGGATGCAAAAAAAAAAAAAAAAGAAAAGAAAAGAAAAGAAAAGAAAAAAAGCCAGGCTAAAACTTACCCTTCCACCCAAAAATAAAAAAACTAAAAGGAAGATAGCCAATCAACTTTTTAAAAAAAGCAATTTATAATACAGAATAAAGAGGAATACTCATGCTACATAACGTCAATGATATTTGATCAACATTTTTCTTGATCCTTCCTTTGAGGAAGAGAATATATGAAGGCCATCAAAGTTCTAACAATCGCAAATTCTTGGCCCAACAAGTGAAGAAAATTGGCCAAATTAGAGGAGTGAGGTGAATGAGGGAATCTGTTGAAACAAGCAACTGCTTGGTTCTTTTGGTGTTAGATTTACTGATTTCTCCACCATGCAGAGTGGGATGATCTGGGCCTCATCCTTGGGTTACATGATTCCTTACAACAGCACGGTAAGAACGGGTGCAGGGTTTTGTGTTTGTAAGAAGTCCAGCATGCACTATTTATATGCAGGTCTCGATATCCAGGAATGGAAAAGGTACCTTGCACTCATCTATTATGACAGAGTTGTGTGCAGCATAGACACACTGATTAGAGTTGCTTTCCCTGTGGTTCTTCGTGTCGTCGTAAATGGACTGCGTCTTGGTCATTTCAATGTCTTCATGCATTCGGTGTTGGGAGTCGATGGTATCCAGCTCAGACTTGGAGAGGTGATGGACGATCCCAGCCCCAAAAGAATCACCCACAACGTTGACTGAAGTTCTCATCCTGTCCCTAGGGATGAAGCAAAGAAGTTCAGTGAGGAATTGCTCTTTCTATGAACCTAAGAAGAATATTTCACAGTGTTTCTGCAACCAGCAAGTATCTAGAATATCTTTCCTTGTGTCCTATGCTGCAAGTTATGATTTTTTTTAAAAAAAAGTGGTTGTTGATGATATAAAAACTCACCTCAGGGATTCAGCACCAAATAGGCTCACAGAGTTCTTAAGAGTAATTGTGCTCACTCATCAGAAAGTACAAGCCAGCCAGTGTGAAGGAACTTTTGACTACATTTCCTACACTTCCAAGTCCTGTCAATGAAGGTGCTGGAAAGCTACTAAAGAGCTAAATAAATAAAGGTGAAAAAGGAAAGAAAGGAGACGAAGTAACGCTGTCGCGAGCATAGTCCTAGTTGACGACACTCACTTGACCTTCAGATTCTATGAGTACGATTAAGGGACAGGGAGAGTGGAAACCTTAACTTTAAAATTTGAACAATGACAGTAAATAAATCCTAATTGCTGGGATGCAGTCTATCTGTTGTCAGGAAGTAGGAAAAATGAAGCTACACTCGGAGGAGCCTGGCATGGCTCCCTTGCAAGTCCAGCTGTCCTGATTTCAACCAGGCAGATCTGCCCACGGTGCTGGGGGTGCCTGTCAAGTGGTCAGCGCTGAACTTGAGTTCTTAGATGTGTCCCTGTCTTTGAATGTGCTGGTCCCTCTTCTGCTCTTGAGAATCTGGCTTAAGGGTGCTGGAGTCTGTATCTGAATGAAGATTTAGGCTTGAAGACACCCATGGGCACCTGAAGCTTCTGGTAAAGAAACCCCAGCCTACGTGTCCAAGAGGGAACACGGAACAGGAGTTGACAGGGCACTAGAGACAGTCAGATGAGAGTAAGAAACCCCACTGTGCTCTTGCATAACAGCAGAAATGCCCTGTACATTTCAAAGGCAAAAGAAGGATGTGGGCAGTTTTAGCATCAAGAAATTATTTCTTTGAGAAGACATATATGATATATGATAAGACATATATATTTAATTTGACAAAGATACTACCCCATCTATACATGCATCAAGATATTATGTGGTGCCTTATTAATATAAGTGTGTTTTACATTTTAAAACATAAAATTATATATATAATTTTTGTATACAGCAGAGAAAATAAATTGCTGGGATGCAGTTCAGAGACAAAGGGCTTACCTAGCGTGTACAGGGCTTTGGGTTTTATCATAGCACCATAAGAAAAGTCATATATTCCAGAGGTAACCTGGATTGGAGTCAGATGTGGTCTTTGTCCCTTACCTACTGGCAGCTCTGAGCATCTTATTATGTGTGGGCCTTTTCAAAACTGAAATAACGAGAGATGGCCAGTGCACAGAGTTGTTAGGGAGATAAAACAATAGAACCAAAATCCTTATCACAATTTCAGACACTTGCTAAAAATTATAAAAAGTTATTTAACCTGATGATGACATACATGGAATATATCACAACAAGTTTTACTTAGTCAATTCAAATGTATCTTGGCAGTTTCTAGGCAGCACATCCAAATACGACTGGTTAAGCTGCCATCTCCTCCTGAAAATAGTTACCGTACCTTTACCCCAACTCCTATAATAGGCAGGGTGTGGCAGACAATGCCAACTACACCCTTGAGTTCACAAAAGGGAGACGTGGCTCTAGGTTTTAGTAACAAGGAGACTGTAATTGATCCACGGAGAGCAATCTATACGGACAGGAACTGGCTTTTACAAGTTGAGAGGAGGGGTGGGGACATTCCGTGTGTACATGCACCTTCTCCAAAGGTGGAGAAAGCGAAAGGAATGGTTGGTGAGAGAGGCAGAGAACATGGGTTGTTTGTATTTAGAAGCAGAATACTTGAAGTTGCTTAAACATTAAATGAAGCCCACTGAGATGGCGAGACTAAAGGGAAGGAGAAAAGGTGATGCTCTCTGGTGATGGGTACTGGATAGATTTAAGAGGATGGGATCCAAAGTGGAGACGCCAATTGTACCTTTTGGTAGAGGGACTCAACTTTATACTATGGAAGAAAAGGGACATAGGGCAAGTTCATGAAGATGGGTTCCTCAGGAAGACGGCAGGAGGTAAAGGATGTATGTCAGACAGCAAGATGCCAATTTAGATTAAGCCCCATCTTGCCAACTTCCCAGGATACCCAGCCAGGAGATCAATCATGGCTATTCTGTTTATATGTTTTTTTAATTAATTAATTTTAAAACCACCCTATCTTTTCTCATTTTACATATCAATCCCAGTTCCTACTCCCTCTCCTCCTATTTGTATGTTTTTTTTTTCTCCTCCAATACTGCAGAGTCAAGCAACTTCCAAACCACCAGGGAAATGTCTTACTGACTCTAGAGAACTGTAACTCTGGCCCAAAAAAGAATATGAGAATTTTTGGTTCATACATGGAAAGTTTTCTACAAGCAAATAACTTTCATTTTCTGTCATGGTCACCACTGACCTCTTGGTAAAGTCTGTCTTCCATGTTGACCCCAGAAGTAGAGAGAGAAAAGAGGGAGAAGGGGGAGGAGAAGAAGAGAGGAAGAGAAAGAAGAGAAAGAGGAGAGGAGGAGAAAGAAAAGAGGGCAAAAGAAGAGAGGATTAAAAAAATAAAAGGAATAGAATTATTTATGCTACCTCTGTGATTCTGTCTGCCAGGAGGGCAAGAAAACAAAAGAGATGAGAACAGAATTTTGCATCTAATGAATTCACTACAAATGGCACAACTCTCCTTTCTGGGCAGGCAGGAACCAGAAACAAGAGGGGTCTGAACAGCCCTTCACACCAATCACTGGACCTGGCTTATTCGAAGAGAAATAATTGCCAAGGTACTCTGGTTCTTTTTTGTCTTGGTCCAAGTCCTCTGGCAGGAAGATGTGAGAATGTCTAAAGGTCCAAGTTCTCACAGGGAGTGCTGGGTCATCCAGCTCCTCTGGGCCTTTGTAATGTGTTGAATCCTGAGAAATGATTGTTGCTGTAGATGTAAAAGAACCCAATGCTGGAATCTCATAGAACTTCATCAAGGAGAAACAAAGCACAGTGTGGGCTCTTGGAAGACAAGGTGTTGAGGGACTGTCTTGGCCGGGGGGTCTCTGTGTGGCAGCAATAGGTCACATAGAGTTTCTGGCCAGACTGGCATTGGAGGGCTAAAGTCACTGGGGATCAGGAAGAAAGGTCACTCACCCAACTGTTAGATGAGATTGGATTCCATCCTGCAGAGCCATTCTGCTCTAACAGGTTTTTCCCATGCAGCTTTCTCATTTGTCCCAGTCAGAACAGGTATACTCATCAATGGGGAAAATAATAAATGCCAACACGCCATCTGAAAGGCTCCCCACAAGATCTCAGAGCAGGTATACCCACCAGCGGGGAAGACAATAACGCTGACATGCCTTCTCAGAGGCTCGCCACAAAATCCTTTGCATATGAAAGGCTGATATGGCACAAAATAAGTGTCATTCCATTAGCTGCTCATGATATTGCTATTATTAGCCAAGTGATGAGTTTATTTCCTCTTTAATCCCCACAAGTTGCATACTCCTCATTCTGCACCTAGTCCACTGTTGGGATTTCTTGAGCACACCACATCTGGTGGCTGTTTTGAAACATCTTACCAGAGTGTAAGTTCTTTGAGCACGGAGACCATGTTTTATAGTTTCTATGGAGGAACTGGTTTCAAGACCTCCCACGGATACCCAAATCCATAGATGCTCAAGTCCCTTACACCAAATGTCCTAACAGTTGCTTATAAGATCACTCACAATGCCCAATACAGTAGCAATGCCAAATAAGCACCTGTGTCATGTTGTTTTTAGAAGACTCAGAAGACAAAAACATCTGCACATGATCAGTTCAGATGCAATTTAAAACAAATAGTTTCTAGCTACACTTGAAGTCTGAGAACATAGAAAGCAGCGTTGTGAGCATTCAGTGTGGTCTGGGGCAGGGTGGGAGAGTTGGAAAGTAGCTAGGATCAGGAGGAAGAACAGAATGGATTGTTCATTTGGATTAGAAGCAGATGAATTTAAGAGAAAGAAAGGATTGTTTGTTGTTTAGCAAAACATCTGGCAGGATTTGCACAGTGAAAAGGGGCGATGCACGCATCATTCAAGAGAAGGAAAGTCACAGAAATCCAAACTGAAAGGGGTTGTCAACAAGCTGGGAAAGAGACAAAGAGAAGAACAAGAGGATTCAGCAAGAGAAACGATGGAAAACGGTCATCAAGGCAGGGGCAATCATGAGAGGTGTGGGGTGCTGAAGAGTTGTTTTTCTTAAGGAAAGAGATTCTCAATATTAAAGTTTTCATTGCTGCCATAGGCTCAGTCAGCAGTTTTGAGCCAGAACGGCTCTTGCAAAGAACCTGAGTCTGATTCCCAGCACATATATGAGGTAGATCACAACTGCTTGTAATTCCAGCTCCAGAAGTCCTGAAACCCTCCTCCGTCCCAGGAAACCCCACCCACATGCATATACTTACACACAGACACATACAGTACGTAAAGAAAAACAAAGCAAATCTCTTTTAAAATTTAATTCCTAAGCTGATACGTCATAATTGATACATCATAGGGTTCAGAGAACACTGAGATTCAACTGCAGGTGAAAGAGACTTTCCAATTTCATTTTCTTATTCTCCTTAGCTTTTGTGAGCTATCAAAACTGGTATCACTGTGCGGAGTTTTACGTGCAATCAGCCCCTGGATCTGTGATCACCCTGCCTTGAGTTAGAGACCCCTGGTTGGAAGGGGAGGCCTTGGTGGACCGTGGATCACATTCTAGAGTGAGGCTGACACAGATTAGAAATAAGGTAAAGAAAAGAAATGAGGAGAAATCTGTGTGCATGAAGAATGGAAGCCACAGACTGACATAAACATGGGTTTCTAGAATCTCCAAAGAGATGGGGGATGTAGGAGTTAGTGTTCTTTTCCATCAGGATAGGAGAGGAAGTTAAGTATGTTTTGTATGTAATAGTAGTAGTAGTAGTATGT